CCCACCAGCCACTCCTCAGAAGGAAGATGGGGCAATCTACTTCCGTAGTGATACTGCCTCGGAAACCCAAGGAGGGTCGCTATGAGTCAGGTCTGGCTCGAGGGCACATAACAACAACAACAAAGTACAAAGGGAAAATGTTGGTTTATACAGTTTTCACTTTTGTTGAGAACAAGTATATTTATTTGAATAGATGCATCTTTCTTCTGGTCTACACTCAAGAAAAAAACAAACTATATACATCTTGATTATATAAGACAGAGTTTCTTAGTGAGCTATAATTAATATTTAAATTATAGTCATATGCCAACCTATAAAATACAAAGCAAAACTTTAATTCTTGAGATTTCTAGAGCACTTTAATAATTTTATATTTATAGTTCTTTCATATGATCTAAATTTGTATTAAATGCACAAATAAACCTTACAAAATAAAAATCATTAAATCATAGATCTGCTGGACTTTCAAAGATCATAAAGTCCAACCACTTAAGACACAACACAGCAGGAACTTGCCTAAAACTTTCTTAAAAAGTGGCCATCCAAATTTTGCTTGAATATAGAACGGAACAAAGAACTTACCTGTTTTATAAAATAGAACTTTATAAATAATTAAAAACATATCTCTTGATTAAGTCAAAACCTAACTTCCATACACTGCTTTCAACCTCTTTTGGACCTATATGGCAACCTAGATTTGGAAAAAAAAAAAAACAAAGGCTCAAGATATCTAAGAATACTCCTGTTAGATAAAGCATGATTTGCGTAAATTACTTAAATTCTCCAACTTTCAGTATTCTCACCTACAAATCAGAGAATATGCTTGTCACGGTTATTTTGAAAATTAAATATTATTTCTGCACAAGCCAGGAACACAGTAGCTGCCACCATTACTCTCCCAGATTCCTAACTCGTCTCTTCATCATTGGTTATGAACTCATTCATCCATCTTTTACACATATTTGGGAAGAAAAACAAAACCCTAATTAGCTACCTAATCATTTTCAAAAATTTCTCTTTATCTCTTTGATAATATCAACAGAGGTGCATTTATCAACTTTCTACATCAATTTAATAATATCTCTTTAGAATATCACAGATATTACCCAATGATACAGAATAAGTGAAGTATTAATCTATTAAATTATATTTAAAATACGTATTAATTTTTAGTTTCAGCAGAACTTACTAATCCTCTATTTTGTACCAGATTCAACTTATTATTTCTAAGGGAAAAAAGCTTATGAAAAAAAAGAAAAATCTCACCACCATGAGCAATAAGTTGTTTTTTTTTTATAACAACATATTATTACTGTGAAAGAATGTACATGTTAGGGACAAGATTGTTTCTAGTTATAAAACATACATATTCTCACTATAGATCAGGGGTAGGTAGTGAAGGACTGGGGTACCGTTTGGTCTGTTACACATAAGGCTGCTTTGAGTAGGAATTGACTGATGGCACCTAATAGATTGCTGTTGTTGTTGTTATGTGCCGTCAAGTCAAAACCCAACTCATAGATTAGAGGCTGGCAAATGCTCCCCCCCCCTTTTTTTTACTGTGATCTGGGTGAAAATTTACAGAGCATATTCACTTTCCACACAGCAGTTCACATACACTTTGCCTCATGACATCAACTACAATTTACCCCAATGCAACAGCTCCCCTCCCACTTCCTCCCAATAGTTACCTCTTCCCTGTGTCCATCCCTCCATGCACTCCTGCCCCCTGAGCTGTCTTCCTGTGCATAAACAGCCCTTCTTTCTCCCATGATTGTTCTCTCCAAGGAGTGTATCTATCTCAGGGAAATGTTGAACTCTATGTCTGTCTTTTGTTTAGTTGGAAGCCACAGGTGTGGGTTCAATTCCACACCTGAAGGGCAGCTAGGGGCCATAGTCTCAAGGGTTCCACCAGGCTCTATCAAACCAGCAAACCTGGTCTCCCTTTTTTTTTCTCCAAATGATTTTGAGTTTTGTTCCGCATTGTTCTCCCTCTCTATCCAGGATCTCCTACACAAATCTCCCTCCAAGTGGTTGACAGTGGTAGCCAGGCACCATCTAGTTCTTCTGGTCTCAGTCTCACAGTCTGAGGTTGCAGATCACATGGTGTACCAGTCGCTAAGACTAATTGTTTCCATGAGTCTTTGGTTTTCTTCTTTCTTCTTTGCTCTGGATGAGGAGAGACCCATCGTTGCATCTAGATGGCTGCTTGCAAACTTTTAAGATCCCAGTCATTACTTGCCAAAGTAGGAGGTGGAACAATGTTTGGTGTAGTCCGTTATGCCAATTGACCTTGATGGCCCCTGTGAGCATGGTCCCAAGCCCACCGGTTCAAGTACTCGGTCCCTCTGGGTAGCTGGCTGTGACCAAGAAGTGACTACAATCTTGCCCCTTGTCAGCTCTACTATACACATGGGAAT